AGCGGTTGCAGATTTTGAAGCCCTCAAACTTGACATTGCAAACTCAGTAATTACTCCTAGGAATGGGCAAGAGCCACTGGTAGTGGAGACTGACGCATCTGACATAGCCGTGGCAGCAACTTTGAGTCAAGATAATCGGCCAATTGCTTTTTTCTCACGGACTCTAAACAAATCTGAGAAGCTGTATTCAGCTGTTGAAAAAGAAGCTGTTGCCATTGTCGAAGCCCTTCGAAAATGGAAATCATTTCTTATCGGAAGAGACTTCAGATTATACACGGATCAGCAAGCTTTATCATTTATCTTTGACAAGAGGCATACAAGCAAAATCAAGAACGATAAAGTTATGAGATGGCGACTAGAGCTAACACCTTATCAATATGAAATAGTGTACCGACCTGGTAGGGAGAATGTAAAAGCAGATACGCTCTCTCGGGCATGTGCGGTTCGCTGGGACAATGCTAAGTTGTTTGAATTACACAAATCTCTCTGCCATCCGGGAGTCACTCGAATGTTTCATTGGATTAAAACTAAAAATCTAAACTACACTCTGGATGATGTAAAAAGGATGACGTCAGCTTGTCAAACATGTGCAGAAGTGAAGCCAAGATTTCACCAATTCCAAGGCAAATTGATAAAGGCAACCACTCCCTTCGAACGTCTAAATATTGACTTCAAGGGCCCTCTTCCATCAACAACCAGAAACCGTTACCTTTTAACCATGGTGGACGAGTATTCTCGTTTTGTATTTGCTTACCCCTGTAAGGACATTAGTTCAGCAACAGTTATCAGATGTTTTTCAGATCTATTTTTTATGTTTGGAGCCCCGTCCTTTGTACATTCAGATAGAGGTTCATCTTTCATGTCGCGAGAGCTGACGGACTTTCTTCACAAGTACGGAGTAGCTACAAGTCATACGACACCTTATAACCCTAGAGGGAACTCTCAGATTGAACGCTTCAATGGAACAATATGGCGAACCATCCTACTAGCTTTAAAAAACCACAACCTGCCAGTTGCTGCATGGGAAGAAGTATTACAGGAGGCACTTCACTCAGTCAGATCTCTTTTATGCACTGCGACAAACTGCACACCGCACGAAAGATTCTTTATACATAGCAGAAGATCTACCAATGGAGACTCCTTACCATCTTGGCTATCCGCTCCTGGTCCTGTCCTGCTTAGAAAGTTTGTAAGATCTAATAAATATGATGACCTTGTGGAGCCAGTTCAACTTTTGGAATCAAATCCACAGTACGCTCTCGCGACATGAAGAAGAGATGGGTCAGAATCACAAGTATCCCTGAGACATCTTGCACCCGCTGGCCTACCTCCTGGTGATCTACCTCATGAAGACAACACTACTGAGAGAGAGATTGTTGAAAATATAAATTCAGACATTGACCACAATGAAGTTCAAAATGAAACTCAACAAACGGTATCTCAGACCCCAACTTCAGAGACGGCTGTGGGGGAACTACGTCCAAAGAGGAATGTCAAGCCTCCGTCATATCTAAAGGATTACGTATGCTATACCTACCTTGAAAACTAGTGGGGGAGAATGTGGTGATGTGAACATTATCACCTGATAATATTTATTATTTGATTTGTTTGTAAATATTGTATTTGTTCTTAACTAAAACATGGTTGTAATTTTGAATGAATAAAAGCCATACTTTTGGTTTACTAAGTCTTTCTTACAACACAAGCCACTAGTATTTTGGTAAAGTTTTAAAGCTGTATCTGTGCAAGCAAGTTGCATTGGCTGAGTAACTGTTTACAAAGAGGACAGTATACTCCTATCCTATGTGTAAAAACGGCGACGACGCAAAGATGGAACAGATTCAACCGAGAGGAGGGGAAATATCGATCGATGGCTGTGGTGGGAGAGCTGACGACAGGTAGAGCCATTGGCCGCATGGCCGCGCCACTGCACGGCGCCTTGAAGAGCGCTTGCAAGCCTTTCGAGTCTGCGTGATTACATGGTTATCATTCAACTTTTTAGTAAACTAACTTCAGATTCTTGTTTTTAAGCATCTATTGCACTTGTCCCGTTTTTTATTTTTTCTGTAAAAATTATTTTAATGTATTAAAACTTATGATAAAAAACGCCTATTTTTACATTTTTCACCAACCCGTGAGCCCAACATTTTTTAAATTATCAAAATTTTAAAAAACGGGATACCTACAATAACATTTAACGAAAAATATGACACCAAGATCTTTTAAATCGGTTCACAATTGGGGCTACAAACAGGAAGAACTAATACCCTTACATTTGCGCGCGCCAGACGGGGTAGAGCGCAGCCTTAACGTTGTTGTAAAGTATATAGGGATCTAAAAAAAAAATTTTTGATTATGATTGTTTTTCCCACACACACTTCAATTATTATTAATAGTCAACTATGTAAATGTAGTTAATTTGCTGATGAAATTTCCTGAAAACTAGACTCTTTATTTTTGTTTAGGCCTATTTTAAAAAGGTGTTTTTTCTTTAGAATGAGGTTATAGTTTTGAAATACCTCACAATTTTCTGAGACATTTATCCGTTATGATAGGCCTACTAATGTCAAATATGGCAGGGCTATATATTTTTTAAAGACCTTAAAATAAGTTTTACATTCCTCCAAAAATCTAATGTTGGTTTAATTCAGGGTGTCTAGTAGTTAGGAAAATCGGGAAAGTCGGGAAATAGTATTGAATTTCAAAATGGTCTTGAAAGTCGGGATTTAGTCTTAAATTTGATTTCAAAGTCGGGAATTTTCATGATTTTGCCGCGATCGTCGTCTTGCGATTTTGCCGCGATAGTGGACGACGACGATGACGTTTCTGAAACCACGAGAGACGACGATGACGTTTCGTGACAGCGGGAGACTACGATGACGTTTCCGTGACCGCGGGAGACGACGATGACGTTTAGCGGGAGACGACGATGACGTTTCCGTGACAGCGGGAGACGACGATGACGTTTCCGTGACAGCGGGAGACGACGATGACGTTTCGTGACAGCGGGAGACTACGATGACGTTTCCGTGACAGCGGGAGACGACGATGACGTTTCCGTGACAGCGGGAGATGACGATGACGTTTCGTGACAGCGGGAGACTACGATGACGTTTCCGTGACCGCGGGAGACGACGATGACGTTTCCGTGACAGCGGGAGACTACGATGACGTTTCCGTGACCGCGGGAGACGACGATGATATCTGCTCGGCCGCGGGAAATGTTCATGATTTTGTCACGTTAGCGGACGACGACGATGACGTTTCCGTGAGCGCGGGAGACGACGATGACGTTTCCGTGACCGCGGGAGACGACGATGATATCTGCTCGGCCGCGGGAAATGTTCATGATTTTGTCACGATCGCGGACGACGACGATGACGTTTCCGTGACCGCGGGAGATGACGATGACGTTTCCGTGACCGCGGGAGACGACGATGATGTCTACACGGCCGCGGGAAATGTTCATGATTTTGCAGTGATCGCGGACGATGACGATAACATTTCCGTGACCGCGGGAGATGACGGTGATGTCTAAACAGCCGCGGGAAATGTTCATGATTTTCCCGCGATCGCGGACGACAACGATGACGTTTCCGTGACCGCGGGAGACGACGATGATATTTGCTCGGCCGCGGGAAATGTTCTGATTTTGTCACGATCGCGGACGACGACGATGCCGTTTCCGTGACCGCGGGAGATAACGATGACGTTTCCGTGACCGCGGGAGACGACGATGATGTCTACACGGCCGCGGGAAATGTTCATGATTTTGCCGCGATCGCGGACGACGACGATGACGTTTCCGTGACCGCGGGAGATGACGATGATGTTTCCGTGACCGCGAGAGACGACGATGATATCTGCTCGGCCGCGAGAAATGTTCAAGATTTTGTCGCGATCGCGGGAGATGACGATGACGTTTCCGTGACCGCGGGAGATAACGATGACGTTTCCGTGACCGCGGGAGACGACGATGACGATTCCGTGACCGCGGGTGACGACGATGATATCTGCTCGGCCGCGGGAAATGTTCATGAGTTTGTCGCGATCGCGGACGACGACGACGACGTTTCCGTGACCGCGGGAGATGACGATGACGTTTCCGTGACCGCGGGAGATGACGATGACGTTTCTGTGACCGCGGGAGACGACGATGACGTTTCCGTCACCGCGGGAGACGACGATGATGTCTACACGGCCGCGGGAAATGTTCATGATTTTGCCGCGATCGCGGACGATGACGATGATGTTTCTGAGACAGCGGGAGACGACGATAATGTCATTGATGTCTACAAGGCCGCGGGAAATGTTCATGATTTTGCCGTGATCGCGGACAACGACGATCACGTTTCTGTAACCGCTGCAGTCAATGATGATGTCTAAACGTAGATGATTTCTAAACGTGGAAGATTTCATGATAAAAAAAAACAAATTTGCTAGTTAGAATTTTTTATTGCTGCATTATTTCTTTACTTGAAAACACCACATTATCATAATACTACTTTATGACAAAGACAGAGGTTGGTGTAGTATTATTCAGAAAATTTGGTTAAGCTATACAAATTGGTATCGGTATCAAGAATCGAGAATCGATACATTTTAGTATCAACACGCACTAATTGTTGAGAAAACTAGTCTTGAAAAATCTGGAATTAGTCTTGAAAAGTCTGGAATTAGTCTTGAATTTTATAATGGAAATAAACTAGACACCCTGTTTAATTTAATTTAGGCCAATATGTTTAGGTGAAAAGCCCCCCAATACTATTCCCCTCCCATAGCATGTGTGTAAGCCCCAGCTTCCTTTGGGCATCATATGGCTAAAGCCACAATCTACATTGCAATGCAAACATTCCAGCTGGTGTCACAGTTGCAGACACACAATGAAAGAACTACACTCTAAGATTACTGACAGGAATATATTGATTACGCTTGCATTATCAGTCTAACTATATTAGGCTACTTATTACAACAGTTAAATGATTTTGTTGGTTTGACAGGATTTCACTGGAGTACCGGCAGTGGTTGACTTTGCTGCTATGAGAGATGCTGTTAAGGACCTAGGAGGAGACCCAGACAAGATCAATCCTATTTGTCCTTCTGATTTGGTCATTGACCACTCCGTCCAAGTTGATTTTGCACGTTCGTAAGTAGAATTTTGACAGTCTTAAATATTTTGCTGAAAGCCATACTATATTAAGATAAAGTGAATTTTAAGATTTGTTAGGATAAAAAAGTGGTTACAGTAGGTCAAACCTTGCCTAGTCAAACCTCATGGACAAACTTCTGTGCTTTACATACAATTGTGTGTCAATATTTGATAAAAATAACTATCAACTCAATAAATAACTTAAAATTATATTCATCAAAGTAATTTAAATTTAAATTGCCTTTTTTAACATTCATTATTACAGAGTTTGGATGTACGAGTAACATTCTGTTTTAAAGTATTGGATTATACTAAAACAGGGTTTCAGAACAAACAATTTGAAACCATCTTCAGTTAACAAACTGATGATAATTCAACTTTTCAATAGTACCTAAGTAATAAATGTCAATATACTTAAGCTGCCAAACACGCCACACAGTGCTAATATCAATCCGTATGCTAACAATCCTACAGTTCAGGTGACAAAATTAGGTAATCTTCGTCAAACAAATGAAATTGAAGTAAAAAAAAAAACTATAAGTTTAAAAAACAGTAATGCCTGTGGCTGGGACAGTATACCCATTAAATTATTGAAATGGTCAGCTAATGAAATATCAAACATCTTGGCTACACTAATTAATCAATCTTTTGCAGAAGGTGTTTTTCCCCCAACTACTAAAACTCTCAGAAATAGTACCCATTCACAAAAAAGGTTGTTTAAATGAAGTACAGAACTACAGGCCGATCTCTTTATTAAGTAATGAGTACAGGTTTATGAAAAAATTCTTCACACTAGATTATCTAGCTTTTTGAAAAATAACTAAAAGTTTTGCAAGGAACAATTTGGTTTCCGTAAAAATCTAAATAGGTACCCAATCAGCTTTAAACAACTTTGTAAATTGCGCTTTGAATGCCTTGGATGAGTCGCAGTGCACAGCTGGTGTGTTCTGCGACTTATCCAAGGCTTTTGATTGTGTTAATCACAAAATTCTTATCAAAAAACTTACAGCAATTGGTTTTCATGGACAAATAATTGAACTTTTGAAGTCTTACTTAAGTGATAGAAAACAAAGAACAGTAATTAAAACCGCCTCTGGGAACAAATACTCTTCTTGGGCAAATAATAACTATGGAGTTCCGCAAGGTTCAATCCTAGGTCCTCTCTTATTCCTCACATATATTAATGATTTACCTTTTCATTTTTCAAATCAAATCTGTAACTTTACCCTTTATGCAGATGATACAACAGCTCTCATCAGACGAAGTACTCTTAAAATGTTACATGATGATGTCAAAGAAACAATTGGAGAAATAGCAAATTGGTTTTAAAAAAATGGCTTACTTTTGAATGAAGATAAAACTAGTGTTTTAATTTTCAAATTGAGAAATTCAACCACTGGAACAGAAACCACTGCCTTGCCCACAAATGTAGTAAAGTTTTTAGGGATATATTTGGATAGTAAACTACAATGGACAGAACATATTAATTTTCTAAACAAAAAACTTAGTCCAACAAGATATGCTTTAAGTGTTTTAATTCAGGTTACCTCCTTGGAAGTATGTAAAAATGTTTATTATGCTTATGTATACTCTATTTCAAGCTATGGTATTACATTATGGGGGACAGCCACAGATGTCCACAAAGTTTTTAAAAAACAAAAGTCAATAATCAGAACTCTTGCAAATTGCCCCAAAAAAAACATCATGTAGACAATTGTTTCGAAATTTTAAAATTTTAACTCTAAGTTCAATATACGTTTTTGAAATTTTAAAAATGGTTCATGGAAATCCTGGTATGTTTCAAAATTATCTTAGTAATCACTCATATAATACCCGAAGACAAGACATTTTTCAATACCCCACTCATAATTTAAAAAAATATGAAACAAGTCCTCTCTATATGGGGTTAAAAATTTACAATAAAATTCCAAACTCCTTAAAGCAATTAAACTTAGCAAAATTTACAGACAAAATCAAAACATTTTTAGTAGAAAAAGCATATTACACTCTTGAGAAATTTTTCAACGACTCCTGGTAACAGACACCCAATCTCTCATCAACCTCTCCTAACATAAACAGTTCCAACATGCTGTAGCTTTTGTAGGGGTAACTTACTGGCTAAATCCTAGGTTTTTTATATACCTATTTAGATTTCCTTATTTATTAGAAACCTTGACAATGTACCTGTCTGTGTACTACATTTGTAACAACTTTAACAGATGTTATGTGCAATAAAGAATTGTCATTTGTCATTTGTCATAAAATAAACCAAATTTTCTGTTTTAGATCAGATGCTCTGCAAAAAAATGAGCAGCTGGAGTTTGAACGAAATAAAGAAAGATTTATGTTTCTTAAGGTAAATTTCAACATGTTTATACAAAATTAGAACTTTTTGATCTGTTAAATAAGCAACATTTTCGAGAGTTAACTTGTACAGGTTCGACTGTTCTGATTTGAATCTGATAAAATCTTTTACCTACGACTGTTTTTTAAACTAGCAGTCTCAATTTATTTAGTTCTTAGAATAAAAAAGATTCACTCAACATCACTGTTGTTGTTGTTTTACTTTACAACACGAGTAACGGATCAATGAGTTTCAAGGATTGAGGGGAAAGAAGTAGAATAACTGTAATACTTCGAACGTCAACTTATCAGATGTTAAGACCAATTTAATTTATTAAACAATGAGTGGGTGGTTGGGGTCCTTGTATCACAATCAGTGGCTGTTAGAAGTTATAATCAAAAACATAACCTGATTTTTAGTAACTAAGAAACGGTCGTAGGTAAAGTAGTGTACGCAACTCACGTAATTAGCCTTAACGACACTCTTAGAAGTTTCATAGGCACTTGCCAAGGCTTGCACCTTAAATTTTCTACTAGTGTTGTTAAGACTATCCTTACACGATCATTGTGTAAACTACCTACTTTAAAAAGAAAGTTTAAAGGCCCTAGGCCTACCTGTTTCAACGAATAAGTACCTATAAGTATTTTATAAGTGGGTTGCAAGAAACAATTTCTAGGTGGTGGTGGGTCGTTATCCGCTGACATGAGATATTCTTGATTTAGCCATAACCACGGTCACAGAAGACGTTCACCGTAGAAGACCTTAACAATTTTGCCAAGACAGCAGAAGAGGTTCCAGATTTTACAGACAAAGAATATGTTCAGCGTTCACTATTTTACCCCGATGCGAGGGAGATCATGAGTAATATTATCATGTGTAATCCGATTGTTGAATTACATTTTTATAAACAAAAATTCTTTCCAAAGCAATCTGATTTTGTCCTGAGTCCCTAGCGCCACCTTTTTTGACCAGACCCGAAGTAAAAGAGTCTGGCTCGCAGACCCCTATTTGAATGAAAGTTTTGAGATCTAACTACTGCTATTGTGTAATGTTAATGTTTGTACAGTGGGGAGCCAAGGCGTTCCGCAACATGCTGATAGTGCCACCAGGGTCTGGTATTGTACATCAGGTCAACCTGGAGTACCTGGGACGTGTTGTGTTCACTGACTCTGACACTTTGTACCCAGACTCTGTGGTAGGCACTGACTCTCACACTACCATGATCAACGGACTAGGAGTGGTCGGCTGGGGTGTTGGAGGTAAACTCTCAGCTAGATATATAGTTTTGTGAACACCTTGTCTAGCTGCAAACAAACCTCGTGGAACATGTGTCAATATTTGATTCGAGTTCTTAATAAATAAATAAAAATTGTAATAAACTGTTATAAACTGCGCTGAACGTATCCAATTCTAGAACCAAACCACTAGATCTATCCCTGTAAACCACAAATGGTTTTGCCTCTTCCTCTGATAGGTTAATTTTACCTCCATCCAAAGTCTTTAAAGTCATTTGTTCAGATTTAATGTGTGGCTGATCGAAACCTTAGTTACCTTCTCCAAATAGTGCAATCAATAATAAAGAGTCTTTGCTTGTAGGCATAGAAGCAGAAGCTGTGATGCTGGGACAGGCCATTTCCATGTTGTTGCCAGAAGTGATTGGGTATAAATTAGTTGGCAAAATGAGCCAATACGCTACATCAACTGATCTTGTACTCACCATCACAAAGGTTAGTATTCTTTGTCTCAAAGTCGTCCCGTCTTCTGTTTATTTGATCTCTCAACCCTTTAACAGCTTAATTAAAAACAGAAATCTGTACCTGATATGTGCTGCAATCTGTAAGTCAACGTTACAACTACAGAGGAATTCTTTTGAAAACCTATTTGTTAAGTACTTAGTTTAAACTTAATAACATGAGGAAAATATGGTATAAGCAGGCATAATTCAATAAACGAATGATCTATTTTGTAGCACTTGAGGCAGATCGGTGTAGTAGGCAAGTTTGTGGAGTTCTTCGGCCCTGGAGTGGCAGAGTTGTCCATCGCAGACAGAGCCACCATTGCCAACATGTGTCCCGAGTATGGAGCTACTGTTGGCTTCTTCCCTGTCGACCAGAACAGCTTGGCTTATCTGCGACAAACAAGTAAGCACAAGTGTATATACTGATTCGGGATGCAACAGTAGTAAATACCTCCCTACAGCTGAAACCCAGGTGAAAATATTTTAACCAAGAAATCAAGTGATCAAACTCAATAGTGTTCATGAAAAACGGTTTTTTTTCCATTACTGCTGATAAAAACGTAAAACTAAGTTCAAAATAGAGATAACCAACAACCACTGTTTATAGACTCAGTTTATCTCTCCCCCCCCCATCAAGTAGGTGTACCATTTATTTAACCCAAGACTTTTTTTGCATTACTGGATAGTTTTCCATTTCTAAAAATGTAAAAGATAAGACTCAGTAGGCTAACACCGTAACCCTACGCACGGTTGGAGTTACTAGAGTTGGCATGAGAGCGTACACATGAGGGCAGTAGCCGCCGCGGTTGACTGCAGTTGCTACTAGGATCACAGACATCTGCGTGCTCGCTCTGTGTGTGCTGTTGTAGTGTGTAGCTGTAGCTCTGTAGTTGACGTGTTGCTTGTAGTGTAAGTTTACAATGGCCATGCAAGCTGATGAGTAACTAGAATACTTTGACACTGAACTGTCAAAGATGCATTTGGGACATATGCAATGAGTGGCAAGAGTTAGTTAAACCTTTTGCTGAAAAGAATTGTCAAGCGGAACAAAGGGAAAAATTAGGTAAATACTGTACTGGTTGCCCATTAACAACCAATTAGCCTGCATGGTCCTCTTCATGTGTAGCCTACATGGCCTTAGACCCTCTTAGAAGTATAGATTAATATTTGTGAATATAAATTACTAAATAAATTATGGCCTTGTAAAAATTAAATCAAAGTTAAATCATCATCATACTTCATTGATCCGCTTGAAAGAAAACATTTTCTACTAATCCAAATTAATCTATACATCACCAGAAATGGATCTAGTTGTTGATTTAACCTTGTAATATCATACAAAACATTGACCTGTGTTGGTTTGTGACGGGAAGTATCTTCCTATTCCCACCACATCCTTCCTGGTAATTGTGTTGTGGCTAGTTTTGTTGGAAGGAAAAAAGCCAAATTGATAAAACGTATTTATATCTGGTTAACAGATAACAAATACATCCACTATTAATCAGTTAACATATTTTATTTTAAATGCCTACATTTTTCAAATTTAATGAATCAATTACCTTCCAAACATGTTTCAAGTAAATGACCCCTCATTCTCAATGGTTTTTGAAGGAATAAACCATGTTTAGGCATATAAATATTTTCATAATTTTACATCCACAAATTCACATAACACAGATGTACAAAACATTGAGACTAATAAATAAATTACCACCTAAGGTTGGTACAAATCAACTCATTCCATAGCGGAAAGCCATAGGACGAAGCCAGTGGCGTAACAGAAGGGCCCGCAGAGCCCGCAATGCGGGGGGGGGGGGGGGGGGGCCCGGGAGCTGAGGGGGCCCATGAACCGGTGAGCAGGAAACGGTGAGCAGAGAGGCCCGTGAGACAAGTGGGGCTGAAAAATTGGAGTTCATTCTTATTTAAATGTATTATCAATCATTCAATAATTGTATTGAACAAGTAATAACATTGATGTTATTAATAATATGTTGTTATCAGTTATCGTTTAATTTCGTTAGGCTTCTTCAGTGATAACCAACTAGGGTAACAAATTTAACTTGTTATAACGTGGGTCTTTGATTACATATTATGCAATCTTACTTTCGTCACCGAGAAATATTTTACTTCTCGGTGATTTTGTACACTGCTTATGTCGTCTGCAAAACATTTTGTTACTTTGGAGCCTGGAGTCATGAACGTTGGCTGGGGCTTTTAATATTGTATTATTTTACATTTTAGTTTTGTCCTAATATTTATTTTATTTTGTTAAATATAATATACTGCTACTCTACTGACTGTGTTTGTTAGCCCATATCTTATTTTACCTCACAATTAACCAACACTAAAGACATTTGTTGTAAGATAAACGCTTACAACATAATAAGACGCTTTAAATCCATACAAAGATAAAATAAAAAATGAAAAATACGCACATAGTGGGGTCCCCATCTTAAATAATTGATTGATTGACTTTAATACTTTACTTTGAAATGGCGACCGTACCAATGTAGGTATTAAGCCAAGAATTAATGGAGATGAGTGTAGGATGAGTGGCCCAACCTTTTAGTTTTGAAAGGGACTAAGGCCGACATATTCCTTAGACACAGATGTTAATTAATAGCCAATACAGCAAAAGGCAACTAAGTGGCCTAAGGGGGTTAATTGGGGAATTCGAACCACATTTTTGCCTTGTAATAAACGAATTAGTCTAATTATCAGGGTAATAAAAATGGTTAACATGTGTGATAAATTAAATGTAAAATTTTTAACCTCCTTGATATAAACATTCTGATAGACGGATGGAAAATAAGGTTTTTTTATTTGATTTCAAAAATATTTACAAACACTAATATTGATATAATGATGTAGTGATGTAACACTTTCATCAAACCGTGACTGAAATACTTAACTCACCCTTTTAGGGATCATAACCCATGATTTAATATTTAATTTTTAATTTAATTTTTTTTTCATAATTTATTTACCACTTTTTTATGATTAATCTGTTTGATCATTGTATCGGTGGTCCAAAAATAACTCTGGGGGGAGGGGAAGGGCGTTTGATTATGTTGTATCGGTGGTCTAAAAATAACTCATGAAAGAGGGGGCCCAAAAAATAAGTTTGCAGGGGTCCCGTAAAAATTTGTTACGCCACTGGACGAAGCACACATAATGACATAATAATTGATGATATCAGCTGAATAGGTGGCAAATAATTGAGCTGTTGTTATTTACTAGCTGTTACTTTATACTTGGATGTAATTTGGTCTTTGAACATTTTTTTATTTAGCAATGAAAGATCAGAACTAGGGATGGGTCGATTCTCGATCCCACCGATACTTGGTTTTGGAATCGGAATTAAGAATCAGCCACTCAAAGTTTTTATTTTTTATTTATTTATAATAATAGAAGTTTATTTGAACTAAGCAAATTGTCAAGTTTTCATGAATCATGCGATAATTACCTATAAATTCTCTTATTTTCTTACAACAAATGCAATGCACTCAACTAAGGAATTATATTTAACTGAAAGTTTAACTGCCTTACAGACAGGGATGAGCTCAAAGTGCAGGCCATAGAAGCGTACCTGCGTGAGACACAGATGCTGCGTAACTACTCAGACTCTGCGCAGGACCCTGTGTTCTCTCAGGTAGTGACGCTGGATCTGGCGACTGTAGTGTCTTGTGTCAGTGGACCCAAACGACCTCACGACCGTGTCTCTGTCAGTGACATGAAAACTGACTTTCTGCAATCACTCACCAACAAGGTACCTACCTTCATGCAGTGTGGTCTATCGATGCTCTAACCATTCTCGTTCATTTTGTAAACACTGTTAAACTTGTTTACTAGATATATATATACTACTTGTAATATGTATCAAAATTGCTTACGGTATGCAGAATTAATTTGAACGATTTTAGTACTTTGTGAGATTTTTTAATGAGTGTCAACCAATCTTTTTTCTTAAATTTTAATAGGCCTAGTATATTTTTTTTTGTAAAATGTAAATTATATTCAAAAACAAATATCTGTGTGAGGCTTTACTTTACAGAGCTGCCTAGATTACACCTAGTTTATAAAAACGATGATGCCTCTAAAAGGTGGAGAAGGGTAAGGGATGACATGGCCTGGTTAAGGGATGGTGGTCAATTGTGTGTCAGGAGCTGATAACAACAAATTGGAAAAGTATATTGTTGCTTGTCTTAGCCAAAAAGCACAGTCAGAAAGAATAGGCTTGGCTTGGAATGATTAACTAATGAAAACATAAATTTATTGACCTTGGGAATAACTTGTAAATTGTGTTTATGTAATTTGCAAAGAAAATACAATACCAACGATTCCTTCAGTTATGTTGGGGAAGGTAGTTGTGACATTGGCTTTTTATCAGCTGTAGTTCCTGCCTGTAGAGTTTCTTAAGATTACTATCATGCCTGTTAATGAATTCAAAAGTAAAAAAATGACTGTGATAAGAGGAATTGTCACCAATCACTTAGCATCAGATTTCAAATCCCGGCCACATCAGTGACAATTTTTTTCAAATATTTTAAGTGTGTATTTGTTTTTCAGGTTGGATTCAAGGGTTATGGGCTCAACCCAGATGCAGTAAAGAAGTCAGTAGATTTTGTCTATGAAGGACAACACTACCAACTGAGACACGGATCTGTTGTCATTGCTGCCATAACATCCTGTACCAACACTAGCAACCCTAGTGTCATGTTAGGAGCTGGTATGTATTGTCTTACAATATACTAATCCTTGTATTGATATACAGTAGAAGCTCTAGTATCCAGAGTAATAGCTCAGGAGCTAGAATGGAAATTAATTTTAAAAATTGGTAATTTTCTTTTTTATACGTTTTGTAATATCTTCATATAACTTTGATATGGTATTTATTTAGAAGGGTTTGGACCTCAATTGGCTAGTTAGAATTTGGCTTCCTCAAAAAACTTTGAAGATAAATTAACAATTGTCTATAATATATTGGTCTATTTCACTTGATCTTTCAAAAAGACTATCACAATATAAATACACCAAAAGCAAGCTCGAAACACCCACTTGTTGTTTGTGTTTGCTAATATTCTTGTTGTCCAAAATAGGTTAGGCAACCAATCAAACTGAAAATACACACAATAACTTTTGCAGTTTCACATAAATGATTTATTGACTCGACACTGCTGCAATCCCTTGGAATAATGTTGAACTATTAACAATGTTCCAGGAATGGAACGGTTCTATCTAAGAATGCCAGAACATATAATCAGTGAGACAGAAATGTTCTGTCAAGTAAGGTAATGGGTTAAAACAAAAGTAAAAGTGGTGTTAATGTATTGTTGTTTGACCACCATAGGTATGTTGGCTCGCAAGGCAGTGGAGGCAGGTCTGCGTGTTGCTCCGTACATCAAAACCAGTCTGTCTCCTGGCTCTGGTGTGGTCACTTACTATCTCAGAGAGAGCGGAGTAGTGAACTATCTCAACACATTGGGCTTTGAGACTGTAGGCTTCGGCTGTATGACTTGTATTGGCAACAGCGGTCCTCTGGATGACACTGTTGCTGACACTATTGAGAAGGTAAATGGATGAAAGGAGGCTGTAATAACACTTCTTGTATTAGAAAGAGGATTGAGTAGGTATTGAGCACAAAATGTTGTAGTTTCTCTGTTAGTGGTTATTGACAATTATTTGGCTGATTTTAGTTTTTAGTGTGGTAGGTTGAGCCTAACAAAGTAAGCTTGCTGTTCATTACAAGAAAAATAATTTTTAACCTCAGATTGAACACAATTGTTTTTTACATTCTACAAGTCATTCAAAAATTTATCAATTTAGCTTTGGGACAACTTAATAACAAAATAAACTATTATCATTGACTATTGGATACAGAAGTTGTTGTATTAATAGTCAAAGCTATTATATTGCTTCTGGTAGATAAAATAACAAAGAATCATATGATTACTGTATTGCTGTATATTGCAGAGTGACAGATAAACTGCCTGTACTATGGTTTTCTAGGTTGGATCGATTCTTGATACCTTTCAAGCAACGTTGCTAGCTTCCTTATTACTTACTAAGGCTAATAAAAAAAAATACATGTTACATATTTTATTTGTATGTATTGTAGAATGACCTGGTATGCTGTGGAGTGCTATCAGGCAACAGGAACTTTGAAGGTCGTATTCACCCCAACACTAGAGCCAACTACCTGGCCTCTCCTCTGCTGGTCATCGCGTACGCCATTGCTGGCCGTGTTGACATCGACTTTGAAACTGAGCCTCTAGGTATGTGTGTTCATTTTCTTAAAAAGCTTATTTTTATCCTACTAAAAATTATCAGTTCAACTTTTAATTTGAAATAAGTTAAGCCAATATCAGTTTTTAAAATAAAATTCATCAAAAAAATTCATAAAATTCATTCAGTGTAAAAAGTTAATAAACATACCTAAGAAAAAAGTATTCTTGATGTAAAAAATGTTTGGAGATCCTCTTAAACACAATTCACTCCTATATGTAGCAACTATTTGCATTCAAAAAGAAAATAAACTAGACTCTAATAAATGAGATAATCCTCTGTGTAATAAAATGTCATAGCAAATTAAAGAAATATAAAATATCAACACTTCTATTATTGTTCCTTAAGCTGCAATCAAGACGTTTTAGAGTTATGCATCTGCTGTTTTACCAAACCAAGTGTATAATAATGTAAGTTACAGCAGAAGGTTTTTTTAAAATTTAGTTACATCGCAGTTAATAGTTATATTAGAAAGCAAATAAGTACAAATATTTAATGTGAACAACAGAACTAAAAAAAAAAATTGTAAATAAATTTAACGTAGCCTAGTTTTACTGTACAGTTTCGTCTGATTCGTTGTATCAAGATTTTATTTTATTACTGACCACAGGCAAGAGGAGCAACGGAGAGCCAGTGTACCTGAAGGAGATCTGGCCTACCAGGGAGGAGATACATGTTGTAGAGACCAAACATGTGATCCCTGCCATGTTCCGTGAAGTTTACGCACGTATAGAGAACGGCTCCAATAGTTGGCAAGCTCTGTCAGCTCCCAGCGGACAACTATACCCCTGGGATTCATCATCTACCTACATCAAGAATCCACCATTCTTCACTGGCATGCAGAAGGTAACCCACTACCTGTACAGACTGGTTAGTTTGCTGAAACATGTAAACACATTGCTGTTACCATTTGGAACTGTATGACTGCTACACTGTAAACACATCTATTATATTATTTAAGTGATACAGTCAAATTTGTGGTAATTGTTTTAGGCCATTAACCAAATTCTCCCACATTAACATATAGTCATATGGCACATCAAAATGAGTGTGTAGAGTTGCTGAAAAGTATATTTTTATTAACGAATTCCCAATGGGCTCTGTTCCACAGGCCGATTTCCAAAGGGCTACGCCTTACATGCTTTTGAAGTTGCCACTATTTAATAACATCCGTTTGTTTATTTACTTGAAAGCATTTTTGTTGGTGGGTTATTTACATTGTGGAAATGTGTTATTAAGCAAGGGGATATGTTGCTCAAAGAAAGTTAGTAAATGCATTAGGCTATACAATTTATTTCATTGCTTTGTTTGTAAATTATATCTTAAACTACAGATAAAGAGTCTTAAAAAAAAAATTGAATAATTAGGGTGAAATAACTTTTTTTTATATAGGTACCTATCAACAATATCACATAATTGATTTATTACTGCTGTATATTGTTAAATTTTTTTGATCTTATTGACTTCAAATATAAGAAGCTTTTTAAAGTAGGCCTAAGTAGATATACACTTTTAAATAAGTTTATATCTTTCCAAATTAAATGAAAGAGTTGAAGTATTTTTTAACACGCCCCTCATGTACTGGTATTGTACTTGCTTAGAGAATTTGAACCCTATATTTGAATTTAAATAAAATAATTTGACTTCATTAAGTGGTATTTTTTTTTTTTTTAATTGATAATATATACAAAATAATCTAAAGAACATCATTCTCTCTTTCATTTACCCGTATCCCTTCTGTTGTGAAGGACGGGTATAGCAGCTTGCAATGGTTTGAATCAGAAGCTTTACCTATGATTATTGTAGGGTGCTAGCCAAGGCTTAACGTTTATTTTGGATTTTTTACAATCATTGTCATTTTATGTGTATTCAGAGTGTCTTGAAGTGTAATTTGTGTTCCTTGATTAATTTTAAATGTCAATTTATTATGCTCTCTCAACACAATGAGAACAATAAAAGACACAGGAGATGTGGCTGTAATTCATGTACACGAACATACACCCCTATTTTCTTCTGTGTGGCCTGGCAGGTAGTATAAGATAAATGTTGCAGGAGTTGCCGCAGCGAGGAGGGATCAACAATGCTCATGTGCTGCTCCTGCTGGGGGACTCTGTAACTACAGACCACATCAGTCCAGCAGGCAGCATCGCTAGGAACAGTCCTGCTGCTAGATACCTGGCAAACAGAGGGTAGGTAATGTACAACAACTATACCATCTCAGCATTAGATTACGGCGGAATCAATAAATATACTAGATAGGATGTTGCTTAGGCCGAAGGGTTTAGGGAAGGGAAAAACTGGAGCTTAACTGGGATGTTACGTGAAAAACATAAGATAGATCTCATAAAGATTGTATAGATTGTATAAGATCACTCCTTATGTCCTCAATAGTTCCAAAAGTTTATGGCTCACAATTTAATTAGCCTACTAAACTAATCTGTTTGAATAATTCATGAGTTAATTGAAGCACCAATTTTCTTTGAAGCACTTGTGATATGGTTAAAAGCAAAACGGCACATGCTTCAGCAATGAACTCGGTGCAATTTAATATTTGACATTGTATAATCTTGACTAAAATCCATGAACATTAAGTCCATAATCCATCTTCCAGGATTATCAACTAACAGTCAAGATTGCAGCAAACTGAATTTTTGACAATGTAAACTTGTTGAACTTGTAAAAATTTTAGCAACCAAGACATCGCAGTGCTTGTGGTACAGTGGTTAGTGTACAAAGCTCACAGTTCTGAACTCTGTGGTTCATGTGTAATTAGTAGCCAAATCTTTTTAATCCTATTCCTAGAATATCATTTACTTTTATTATATAATAATTTAATGTAGAGCTTAATGTATTTTCTATTTATTTTTGTAATCAGAATATATTTTGGGCAAACCTTTTACATTATTGGTTGATTATTGATCGTTACAATCGATAGGTATTAGGGATAGCCAAATTTGGTTACAATTGAATCAATGCTTTTATGTTCATGTTCAATAATACAATAGAGTCGGGTATCAAAGTGTTGCCTTATTTTGTATTAATTGAGCGGAGCGAGCGAAGCGAGCGAAGCTCTTATACGTCGACTCTTATGCATTTCGTAATACGCAAACTCCTCCTAGACGGCTGAATCAATCGTTTTCAAATTTTGCATGGTGATAAAGACCATATCGGTGAGTACCAACATCTATATGGCGTTAAAAAAGTCTCTCAGGGATCCGCCCCACTGGGTCTCAAAGTTTCAATGTAATCCTTATGGAAGCAGTATTTGACACATAAACAAAGACATATGATTAGCTGTTGACGTTTGAATGCAGTAGATAAAGAAATAGCTGATAGCATTATTACACAGATATTAGAACAGACACGGTATGGATCATAAATATAATCAAATGACGACACTAGCTTGAGGTCCGTGACGTAGGAAGTGGTGAAGGAAGTAGTAAAGGTGAGCAGTCCGGAGTGAGGGAACTGTTTATGACGATTAGATTAAGGTATCTGCATTCCTAAAATTCTATAGGAAGGCAGGAAAATGAGTCCGCGACGTAGGAAGTGGCGAAGAAAGTAGTCAAGGCGAGCTGTCCGGAGTGTGGAAACTGTTTATGACTATTAGATTTAGGTTCTGCAATCCTAAAATGCTATAGGAAGGAAGGGAAACAGGTCCGTGACGTAGGAAGTGATGAAGGAAGTAGTAAAGGCGAGTTTTTCGGAGTGTGGGAACTGTTTATAACGATTAGATTAAGGTATCTGCAACCCTACAATGCTCTGGAAAGGGAGGAAAACAGGTCCGTGACGTAGGAAGTGGTGAAGGAAGTAGTAAAGGCGAGCTATCTGGAGTGTGGGAACTGTTTATGACGGTTAGATTAAGGTATCTGCATTCCTAAAATTCTATGGGAAGGGAGGAAAACGGGTCCGCGATGTAGGAAGTGGTGAAGGAAGTAGTCAAGGCGAGCTGTCCGGAGTGTGGAAACTGTTTATGGCTATTAGATTTAGGTATCTGCATTCCTAAAATGCCATGGAAAGGGAGGGAAAAAGGTTCGTGAGGTAGGAAGTGATGAAGGAAGTAGTAAAGGTGAGCAGGCCCGGCCTTGGTGCTGCCAGGCCGCCAGGCCGGAGTGTGGGAACTGTTTATGACGATTAGATAAGGGTATCTGCAATCCTTGAATGCTATGGAAAGGGAGGAAAACAGGTCCGTGACATAGGAAGTGGTGAAGGAAGTAGTAAAGGCGAGTTGATCGGAGTATGGGATCTGTTTATGACCAATAGATTAAGGTATTTGCAATCCAATAATGTTAAGGGAAGGGAGGGAAACAGGTCCGAGACATAGGAAGTCGTGAAGGAAACAGTCAAGGAGAGCTGTCCGGAGTGTGGAAACTGTTTATGACTATTAGATTTAGGTATCTGCGATCTTAAAAATTCTATGGGAAGAGAGGGAAATAGGTCCGCGACATAAGAAGAGGTGAAGGAAGTAGTAAGGTGAGCAGTGTGGAGTGTGGGAACTGGATACTGTTAAGCAGTTAGATTAATGTATCTTCAATGCTGATATACTCTGAGAAGGGATGGAAGCATGCCCACGACATAGAAAATTGTGAAAGAAGTAGTAAAGGCTAGCAGTGCGGAGTGTGGGCAATGTTTGTGGCAATTAGATTAACGTATCTAAAATACTAAAATGCTATGGAAAGTGATGAAAACAGGTCCACGATGTAGGAAGTGGCTTAGGAAGGAGTAAAGTATGAGCAGAGTGGGGAACCGTTTGGGCAGTTAGATAAATGTATCTAATACTTAAATGCCATGAGAAGGAAAGGAAACAGGTCTATGACGTAGGAAATGGTGAAGGAAGTAGTAAGGCTTGCAGTGCAGAGTGTGGGAACTGTCTTTAGCAATTACATTAATGTATCTGCAATCCTAAAATGCTAAGGGAAGGGAGGTAAGCAGGTCCGTGACGTAGGAAGTAGTAAAGGCGAGTTTTTTGGAGTGTGGGAACTGTTTATGACGATTAGATTAAGGTATCTTCAACCCTACAATGCTCTGGAAAGGGAGGGAAACAGGTCCGTGACGTAGGAAGTGGTGAAGGAAGTAGTAAAGGCGAGCTATCTGGAGTGTGGGAACTGTTTATGACTATTAGATTTAGGTATCTGAATTCCTAAAATTATATGGGAAGGGAGGAAAACAGGTCCGCGACGTAGGAAGTGGTGAAGGAAGTAGTCAAGGCGAGCTGTCCGGAGTGTGGGAACTGTTTATGACGGTTAGATTAAGGTATCTGCATTCCTAAAATTCTATGGGAAGGGAGGAAAACGGGCTAAAGAGGCTAAAACCGATTTTTACTCCCTAAAGTGTAAAAATGCTACTTTAGAACAGCATCACATGCATTAAAAACGACTGTTTTTACTGCAGTATGACAAAAACAATATAATATGAACCCTTGATGGCTCCGCTCAATTTTGTGGATGCCTCTGCGAACGCCACCTAGTACATTTTATTAAATTTTTAATAATTAATTTCCACACACAACAAATAAATCTTGGCATTCATTTTACAAAATTAAAATAAAGCCTTTATATCTTCACTAGATGTTACAGTCAGAAATAAATTGTAGACCACTTTAAGATTTCTATTTGGCCTCAAGAAGTTTTACCTAGTATACTTAGGCCCCTATTCATTGTAGTAAAAATGCACACAACAGTATTAAATCTATTTTTTAGTTAACCGATTCAAATGTCCTGAAATTATGGTACATAACAACTAAAAGACATAGGCTACCACTGGAAAACCATAGGCTATACAGGGTTAGGCAAAAGTCTGGAACCCCCCAGTTAACTTGTTGCAGTAGGAAAACCAAACTCGGCACATATTTACAACATGAGAAATTGCACTTTTTCATCAAAGTTACAACTTTGCCCCAGCTCCCAAAATGGGGTATTTTGGGGGCATCCCCAAATTTTTAAATGTAAACACCTATCATGTGACCCCTCATTTTAAAGGGTTTATCAAGAGAAATTGAATGGCGCAAACCAGAGGTCAATATCACACTCCTAATCAAAATGGCAGTCATTTTGAAATATCCCTAATTAACTTTTTAACAAGTTATAGCAGGAAAACTAAACTCAGCATACCTTTATAAAAAAAGATACCTTTTTTGGTCAGTAATGTTAAATTTTTAAAGTTAACTGGGGGTGTCTAGACTTTATCTTGCTTGCTAATCTTAAATAATTAAAATGGCTGCCATATTGATCAGGGCTGCGATATTGACCTCTGGTTTGCACCATTCAATTTCTCTCAAAACCCTTTAAAATGAGGGGTCACATGATAGGTTTACATTTGAAATGGCCCATTTTGGGGGCCGGGGAAAAGTTGTAACTTTGATGAAAAAGTGCTATTTCTTATCTTGTAAATATGTGCCGAGTTTTGTTTTCCTACTGCAACGCGTTAAAAAGTTAACTGGGGGGTTCCAGACTTGCCTAACCTGCATTATTTAATTTTCCAACCAACCTGTGAATCAAGGGGCTTTGTGATTACCTTCGGTCAAATGATTTTTTATTGTATTTGGTGGACAGCCTAGTTTCTTCTTCTTAATCAGATGGTTATTTTCTTTTTACTGTATTTGTAACGAGCTTATATAGATGGCTAAAAAAAACATGTGTTACGAACGACTCTTGTGAATTAAATTTTGTTGTTATTTTGAAAAACCATCATGGCAACCAAACAACCCAGAAGTCCAATGCTAAATTTTAAAAGTTTAAATTCTCATAGGACAAAGCCCAGAAGTGCGATTTGTACCATTTCAGATCCATACCTTCCCATAGTTGGCTCAAAAATAGTTAACTAATTAGTATTTGGGTCTTGATTATCCCTGATAAATGATGTGATATTGCAGGCTGACTCCAAGAGAGTTTAACTCGTACGGGTCTCGGCGAGGTAATGACGATGTAATGGCCAGAGGAACATTTGCAAACATTAGACTGGTCAACAAACTGATCACTCAGACCGGGCCTCGTACACTGCACATCCCGTCTGAGGAAGAGGTATATGACTTCAGCAGAATAATGTGCTTGTTTTTGTTAATACAGTATCAAGAATAATAAACCATTCTTAATATTTTCCTATGGTTATAGTATGCAGAGATTAAATGAGTTGTTGCTTTTTGAATTTTTAAACCATTTCTTGATAGAAAATAAACATTTTAAAGTACTTTCTATTGAGCCATGAAGGTAACCAATATCATTTAATTTATTCTGGCTAGATTTATTATGAGCATGGATAGTTATTTAGATGGAATTAAAAACGTAATGCTATTTTCTGGTCTTTATTGCATGTGGATTGACTCTGCTGAACTTAACATTGAAAATCTGATGGTAACACTACTGTATCAAAACATGTACAAACTTCACTGCATTGTAATGAAATTTAGGGCTGATTAAAGGGTTTTGAGTATTAATTCTATTTACTTTCCATGTTTTGAAGTGCAGTTCTGTTTTACAGTTGGATGTATTTGATGCAGCTGAACGCTATGCCCAAGCCAACATACCTGTCATAGCAATAGCTGGTAAGGAGTACGGCTGTGGATCTTCTCGGGACTGGGCTGCCAAGGGACCTTTCCTTCTGGTAACTATTATTTGATAAATCAGTCATTATCACTTAGAGTACTTGTATACTGACATGGCTAGGATTTTTCCATTTGATGGATTATCCTTAGTAGGCCATCAAGTTTTATATAGTGGTTTATTTGCAGGGAATCAAAGCAGTGATAGCAGAATCTTTTGAGAGGATCCATCGCTCCAACTTGGTAGGCATGGGAATCATTCCTCTACAGTTCCTGCCAGGGCAGACAGCTGACTCTCTGGGACTGACAGGCAAGGAGACATACACCATCAACATTCCTGATGACATCAAACCTCTGCAGCGGCTGACAGTTCAGGTAAACTTTTAACAGTTGTTTACCCAATACCCTACTGAAGTTTGTACCTGGTTTTGAATAATCTGTTTGAATATCAATCTCAGCAAGCACCTCTTTTGTTAGTTCCACTCACTGCATTTACTATTTCGTGACCAACTAGTTAAATCTTTCAGTAATGAGTATTTACTACGGTAATAGAATGTATTACAATGCATGTAGGTCTTGGTTTGCTTTATGCTGTGACACTATCAATGTACAATATGTTTCAGGTGAGCTCTGGGAGCAGTTTTGAGGTTGTGTTGAGGTTCGACACTGAGGTCGACATTCTCTACTACAGACACGGAGGTATTCTCAACTACATGGTGCGCAAGATGCTCAACTGAGACTCCATCACAGCAACTTGGTCTTGCTCTGTTAAACCTGTGTAGGCCTATATTTACTCTCCGTTTAAAATGGGGTTAAAGTGTCCTCAAAACGTATTCAAATGGAAAAAGGAATGGAATTTTTGAATGGAGGAGTTTTATATTTTTATAACATTTTATAGAATTTGAAGTGTAATTTAAATTCCCAATCAAACCCGCAGTTATTAACTATATGTTGAATAAACCAACAATTCAGGCTTTAAAAGTTTCTATGCCATATCTAGTTTCCTTTAAAGAAAAAAATCTATTTATATATTTAGAAGGAATAGATCGTTGGTGGAACTTCATCTTTTTCTTCTAAAGTAGAAAATAAATATGACAAACTGAAAATGTCATGAAACTTTGTTATTAACCTTTCACTCATATGGAGAAAAATATTAAATCAGTACAGTAAAGATATTAATAATCAAGCATAACCTTCCAAATTTAAAGTAAAGTAAGGATTTAATAATTAAATAAATGATCAAACATGCCATATTTCAATATTTGTTATCTTTAACCTTACGCTGATTGGGTCGCTTTTTTATTATGTTAATAAATGGAAATTAGTGAAAAAAACTTCATCATTCTATATGTTACCTTTTTCCTCCATTTTACAGTTAAATAGTACTATAAAGATATTCTAGCACTCAAGTCCTCTGTTAACTTGGAAATTGAAATTTTATAGAATAAGTTGACAGTTATATAGGATTACAAATTTAATCCTGCAAAATACGCAAAGTTGTTTTGAAGGACAAAGGAGCCGTCATTATCAGTAATGGTAATTTAAAGAGAGAAATTGGGGAGTTATTTAAAATAAAATTAAGTTTTTATTATTTAACCCCAAAAGTTACACTTTAACTCCATTTCATTGTAAAAGTGATAGAAAAGATACTGAGAATTTTACTGTTACAACACAAGTCGAGATGAGATAATAATTTTAAAATGTAAAAATCTTGCTCCTAGATTCACCAACACATTAATCTTGAAGATCTTACGGAAGACAACTTGATGATGTTCCCTTGACCTCAGGGGATGAACAATATTTTGCAGCCATCGCAGGGGATATTAGTCTTATACTAGGATAAGCTATGTCTGTGGTTTGTCTATCTGTAATATTTATCTCAAAATTCAGTGGCAGGATTTTGACTAAATTTTGGAATTAGGTACTTATAGGCCTAAAAACGAGATTGACGACAGCCATTACCTTAGGAAATTTTGTATTTCGCTGCATAACTCATTTGAAAGTTTAAAAAAATTTACATTGGCCTTATGGGTTGCCAATAGTAACTATGTTGGTTAGGTTGAAAAAAAGGATAAGGAAAAAGTAAACAAAAGACTTGTAACATGTGTTTATAACAAGCCATCCACAGTATACTAGCAAATTTCAAAATACGGGGGAAAACATCAGTTACTATTGAGCAAATATTACACTGAAGATTACTCGATATAGGGAAAAATAGTTCTGATCAAATACTGATTTTTTGCTTGGCTCTCTCCTACTAAAACTTAATAATATATTAATTTTATGTAAACTAGTGGTCGTCCAGTGGTCGAAAATTCAACCAAAAATATGTAATGTACAGACTTATCTATCTTCACCACACGCTGTAAATAAAACATGTGATAAGAATTTATTTAAATTGTTTTGATTTTCTGTTTATATTTAGTTGTTATTTCGTCACCAGCATAGCAACCCATAAGGTCCACGTAAATTTTTTTCAAATTTAAAATTCATTTTTTGTGCTTATTTTTGAGCCTATTTTTATTCATAAAGGAATTCTGCACATCTACAGGAAAATATATTTCTAACAGTATTCGTAGATTTTCCCTGTGATGTACACGAGCTGAGAAAAAAGGTTTTAATGAAACATGCTTGCCTATCAATATACAGGGTGAAAAAAGTCAACCCCCCCCCTCTAATATTTTTCCAAGTAAATATACAGAGATATCCTTTTGGTGGTCGTGCAATCTTAGCAGGAAGTTTCATTTTATGATTTTCAAATTTTTGAGAGTCCCCCCAAAAGGGGGGATTTGGGGGGCAACTCAAATATTTTAAATGTAAACCCCCTACAAGTGACACCTCATTTTGAAGTGTTTACAAAAACTTAGAGAATGGTGAAAACTAGAGGTCGCTATCTCTTCTCTATCCAAAATGGTAGCTCGTCAAATGTGGAAAATCAATGGTAATATTGGTTCTTAATGGTAATATTGGCTACCATTTTGGATAGAAAAGAGATAAAGAACTTTACCTTCAAAATGAGGTCACTTGATGGGGGTTTACATCAAAACATGTTTAGTTGCCCCCCAAATCCCCCCTTTTGGGTGGACACTCAAAAATGTTAAATGTAAATCCTCATTTAGTGACACTTTGGATTACCAGGTTAAAGTTTCCATCATAATAAATTGAAATTCCACTGAAACTTAAATAATGTAAGCCAAAATTAGTTGTAAATAAAACATGAGTTTTCTTTATATTGCTTTTACAATCTAAATAAACTATACCGGGCAATGGCTCGGTCTCCTGATAATAATTATTATGCTATTTAGTCAGTTCAGCTGTAGAACTATCTTATCTAAATCAAAACCTTAATACTTCACACCTCACCTTGACATCTTGAACTTAAATGACACAAAACTATTGCTCTAGTTAATAATATTTATTCAATGTTCAGTTCGAGCAAATAATATTTCATTACTTTACACACGAAAGTACACTTTTTAAACGTAAAATGAGCTAAGGAAATAAGTTATTCCCGCTACTGCAGGACAAAACTGCCTAACGTTAACTTTCCGTGCATTTGTGGTGCACGTAAAGTAACTGTTTTAGACCTATCAGCTGTTGCATTGTTTAGTACCTTCAGTTTTTTTTCTTGATACTAAGTTGAATAAACAGAAATATTCATGATGTTTACAAGTTTTTTTAAAATATCGTAATGAAAAATAATGTTTAATACTCATCTCAAAAGTGCCATTGCAGGGCTCGATAGCTTTCTCTCAGGGTAAATGCAATCTCTCCCCGCAATAAATCACTTTCTAGTAAACTAGTAATTAAAACTACTCTATTGTTTATGATAATAGCAATATCTGTGTATCAATCACATGTATGGAACTTGTTTTTATAATACTGCACTGCTGACAACAACAGTTTTTTGGCTCTTATTTATCTGCAAAATTGCCATTTTCTAATTTATTGAAATAACATTAGTTTAAATGACATCATTAGCCATCTTGCTTGGCTGAAACTAGTGTGACAAGCCTGATACTGTGTGGTTCCCTAGCAGGGCCCTGTTTCATAAAAATACTAGTCTAGTATTTACTAGTCCATTGACTAGTAATACTAGTGTATTTTACAAGTCTACGTTTCAAAAACCTACTAGTGTAAAATACTAGTTACTAGTGTAGGGACTAGTATTACTAGTGGTTTTTACTAGTGTAGACAGCAATGTGTTTCATAAAGTTTTACTCTTGTAAATAACACTGGTAAATACTTGCCATTTTCTAACAACCTCTCTACACCCGTATTATTTGAAGTAGACTAGTATTTTTTTGGAAAGATAGTTATTTTATTACTCACATCATTTAAAAAAATGAATTATTGAATTCTTTTTTCAAGTGCGAATTGGCTCAAGTTTGCAATTTAAGATAAAACTATCTGTGAGTGCTAAAATGATAATTATTAGATGTAAATTATAATCAATAAATGTGGCGTTGTACAAAATGAGTGAAATTGAATTTTATAATGTATGTACAATCTCCCTATTAGAATAATTATGTGTTTTTTATTATAATTATATCAGTTATCAATTTCTGTGAAATTTTAGTCTAAATTTACTTGAGTGAAATTTCATGGTTATATCAACTATTTAGTTATCATAGATAAAATATGTTTAATCTTTGAGAGAAACCAAATTAAAACCGCATACCGTATTGCATACAAAGATGTACAAAAATTTATCCAACATTACAATATTAATCAGATTATTTTACACCCAAGGCTCTCGGTTTTATTTAAAGGCATTTTAATAGGAAATAATAGTAAGACAATTTTAAAGAGGAGTTTCTTTGTATTTTTTGAGGTGCTTATTATTTGCTTCGCTAAATAGCTAAAGCCCTGTGACGTACTAACAATTTTGTAGGCCTATATTTGATTTTTGGGCGTTGGACTAAATTGCTTATCATAAAAACATTACTTTTAATCAAATTTGGTATTCTGAATTTGTTATTCAAAGTAATAAGAAAATTAGAGGTTGATTAGAGTTGTTATTTTAATGTAAAACATGTGAAAGTTTAATATGTAATGGTACAAAAAGTATAGTGAGTGGTGCGGATTTGACCCAGGGACCCACCACATGAGAAGAGAAAACTCTACCTCTGATCAATAGCGCATTTTATGCCATGTTTTACTATACTTGAAAACCTACTTCTCCATTGCTTGTAACGGCGTTGCAATTATTTGTTACATCAATAAACGTTTAGGCTTATTATTCATGGTTTGTAGACTCAAAATTAGAATATCACAGAATGGTTTTTAACCCAAATATTCTTATGCATTCGAATATTTGAAAACATAGGTTAGGGTACTTGAAAACGTTCCAAACAAAATGTCCTTAGATGATTTAATTACATTCAAAATTTGAGCATTCTTTTCATTACTCATAGCAAGCTTAGTTTTATATGTCAGGATAAAATAAAAACTATACAAATCACAGCGAATGCGGCAGCAACAGATCAACTTCCACCCAACCGTTGAGCGCCGCAACTAGGCCTACAACCGGCTACTACAATCACCGTGTTGATTGGAGCAACGCGCCGGCGCGTCGGCGGGCTCATTGATGAACATAAATAATGTGTGATTGTTTTACCTATGTGTCTATACAGACTGTCCCAAAAGTCCCGGACCGGTTTAATATTTTCTAAAAGACAACAGATAAATCAATAAGATTTTTTACATCAACACCACACCTAAAAATCTACTTTTTTAAGGAACTAAAAATTTTCTGTCATATCATAGGGACGTCCCACAAGGAGTCAGAAGGAAATCTTAAATAGGAGCATAGGTTAATATGCACATCAGTTTAAAGGGCTTAGCTAGTAGAGTTCAATGCCAGAAACTGCGCCTTAAAAGGATCATCCGTTACAAAATGGCAGCCGTTCAAAGATTTCTTGAATCTGCCATTTTGAATCTTTGAACGACTGCCATTTTTTACTCAGGCGTCTTATTGAGCTTTAATTTACGGTTTTGTAATCTTCTAGTAAAGACCTTTAATTTGATGTGCATATCGACCTATGCTTACGTTAAAAATTTTCTTCCGATTCATAGGGCTGTGCCCCCTGAGGAGTAAGCGTATAATAGCAATGCAAATTAAATTAATCTTCGAACCACTGTCATTCTTGGCTCAGTTGTCCGTTTGAGTTCAAATTTGCAGCATTATATTCTGCTAGTAAAGATCTTTAATTTGATGTACATGTCAACCTATGCTTCTGTTTAAGATTTCCTTCTGACTCCTTGCGGGACGTCCCCATGATGTGGCAGAAAACTGATATTTCCTTATAAAAGTAGATTTTCAGGTGTGGTGTTGATGTACCAAACCTTATTGATTTATCTGTAGTCGTTTTGAAAATATAAAACCGGTCCGGGACTTTTGGGACAGTCTGTATAGTTATTAACTAAAAGAAAACACTGCGTTTTTACAACTATTTATTTTTAGTATCAAATGAAAGAAAAAATTAAAACGCTTTATGAAGCGTCAAAAAACCCGTGATTGAGGCTAGAAATTTGTTTTGAGAGTTCACTTGTAAAGTTGGTCATGTGACTAGTAGTTTCGGTCACGTGACTAGTAAAATTCACTAGTATTTACTAGTGGTATAAAAACGTTTATGAAACACAAATTAGTAGGACAGGTAAATACGGGACTAGTATTTACTAGACTAGTAATTACTAGACTAGTATCTTTATGAAACAGGGCCCAGAAAAAGGCTTGTGAAAATAAAACTGTAGCAAGTGTATTGTAATTACAGCCAGATACCCTTTAAGTATTGTATTCACCCAAATAAGACATTATCAATGTTTTTCCTATTAATAATTTACTACAAACCAAAATCACCTTAGAATTATTTAAGTAATACTTTTTGTAGCTTCATATTTATTCTATACATAAAAATAAAAAAATGTTTTACGTAGCCAATAATGTGTTATGGTGTAAACAGTTCTATTACAGGGTGAGTGATTTATAGAATTCTTCCTTGGTCTGGTTGAGAGACACTCGTTAGTTGACACTTTTTATCTCTAAATAACATTGTACTCTTTAAGACTGAAACATTTTTTTGTCATCTGTTATGTACTGTCTAGAGTGTTTATTGTTAAAGCTTAGGGTCTAACTTTATGATTTTATATTGTTGAACTTTAAAAGATTTGTTATTGTTGAAGAATATTTTGACTGTGGGGGATGGGAATAAATTTTGCTATACATGTTTCATAAGTTTTTTCTTTGATCCTACCCACTTCATTAACCTAATATACAGGGTTAGGCAAAAGTCTGGAACCCCCCAATTAACTTTTTAACGCGTTGCAGTAGGAAAACCAAACTTAGCACATATTTACAACATAAGAAATTGCACTTTTTCATCAAAGTTACAATTTTGCCCCAGCCCCCAAAATGGGGTATTTCGGGGGCAGCCCCAAATTTTCAAATGTAAACACCTATCATGTGACCCCTAATTTTAAAGGGTTTATCAAGAGAAATTGAATGGCGCAAACTAGAGGTCAATATCGCACCCCTAATCAAAATGGCTGGGCCCAGCTGTTTCCTGATCATTGGGCTTTAAATAAATGATCCTGACTAATGAAACCGCTGATCTTAGTCAGTAACAAAGCTACACAGGTCATCACACACCATTCTACACTCATCCCTCAATCATATTTGGGTTAAAATACACACCTAGATGGCGTCCCAATCTCAATTATTGATAAATTGATTGATTGATTAAATTTTGGGATGAAATTTTATAACTTTTTCATAAACTTCCATGAAGATTGATTTGTGAAATTTCTTCTAAAATGTTTAAATTGTAATACACTGTTTCTTAACTACAACCTTTATATAGTAATAATACCCCCGCCGCAGCAAACCTGCCGTCTAAGCGAATTTCCATTTGGCCGAATTGATTTTCAATTGATCTACTTAAATAACATTAGGTTTAACGAGTACCTAGGTTTGCTGCTACAAGGAAACTAATAAAGTAGTGTGTTTTTAGTAAAATATTGATAGCGCTCTATAAAATAAATAAATTTGCCAAGTTTGATCAAAATATATCCATAAACAAGCAAACTACAACATTTTACAATATTCTCCATAAGAATAACATGGGAATTTTAAATTTAAAATTTTTTTAGTTTTCTCCGTAACCAATAACCGTACAAAAACACTTTGATATACTGAATTGTTTGTTTTTTTAAGCTCTTTAAGAAGGTTTAGAGAAAAATTGGGAAATTTTGTGTTTTGAGGGTAAAAAGTGAGAAAAACCAATTTTTACCCCATAAAACCCCTCATAAAACCCTGTTCCCATGGTCCGATCATGCTGGATCGCGAACTCATTCAAGTTTATCCCGCCTTACACCTTCAAACCAAATTTCATCAAAATCGGATAAAAATTACTCAAGTTATCGTGTTCACGGACACATATATATATATATAAATCTATATATATATATATACATATATAAAAATTTGAACGAATGGTGTTTTTGGCCTCTGGGGACATTAAAATGAAAAAGTAAATCGGTCCCGGGCCTAAGTCTTACCATGAGACCTACGGTAATAGCTACTTCCCTATAGGGAAATTCGCTAAAAAGTGTTTGTACAATAATTTGTTGCAGTACTATTATATTACTAACCTAAACAAATGATTTTTTGAACTGTACGGTATAGCCCCTTCTACTGTATGGAATAGCCCCACCCCCAGGGGCTATTTTGTGCAAGGTAACTTTTTTTAAATTAGCCTACCAATTTTTACATGAAAAAAATGTAATAGTTCCAAAATGTTTATACAATCAGCAGCCAAATAATTAAATTATATATTGCTCGTTTACATTACTTTTACTTCGTAATTTGCGATGTAACTACGAATCTCCCTTATGAGTATGGTATAGCCCCGCTCTCGCCTATAACACTAGACACAAAAACCTGATAAAGCCATAGATTAATAATATTTTAAGCATTACCTCAATATACTGGACCCAAAATTGTACAGATGATTTAAAAAACATCGCTAATCCAAACAAATATACTGGTTACTAATCAAAACATTTTATTCTTTAAGTGGAAATTGGTAGGATTAAGTATTGCAATTAATAATTTTGTTTAATATTACTATTTAGCTTCAAGTATTTATTATACAAGCTTTAATTATTATATTATGCCCTGTCATTTTATGATGTAACGGCATTCTGTAAATAAAAATAATAAATTTTACGCCATACTACACTACACTTCTCTCTGATCATGATGGTCAGATGTTGGAATTTGCCTGCTCTGCTGAACTTCCTAAATCAAACAAGTACACTTTTCAAGAATGCCACAATTTTTCATAAGCGAATTTGTTATTATTTAATCAACTTATTAAACATGAATCTTGGATAGATGTTTATTTTGCCCAAGTTCAAGAGAAGTATAATACATTTTTTGACATTCTACAATTTTATTTTGATCAAGCGTTTCCAAAAAAAGTAATAAAAAAGAATACAATTGCACATAGTTGGGTAACGCAGACATTAAAAGACGAGAAAAAAATGTCGTAAGAAGCAAAAAATATATGAAAAAAACAAATCAATTATAAATAAGATAAGTTATAAATATCAATTGTTAAGATATAACCAAAATGTTAAGCAAGCAAAGAAAACTGCTTTTGAAAATAAAATTAAAAAATCATCCAATATTCCTAAAACTGTATGGAAAATAATAAACTCCGAAGTAGGAAATAGAAGAAAGGTAGAAATAGGAAATTTTGTAATTAAGCACGAAGACAAAAATCAATCTGACCCAAAAATAGTTAGTAGGTAGGGTATTTAATAATTATTTTGTTAGCATTGTACAGGATATAGACGACAGATTTAATGATGTTGCAACACATGAAACTAGTGGAGATGCAGATGAGATTACCGGTATCTCTGTAATTATAAAACCGCACTTTCATCTAAAACCTGTTGATGAGTTGGAGGTCAGTCGTGTCATCGACTCTCTCAAAAGTAAATTTTCAAGTGGGCTGAATGAAATTCCTACTTCTGTATTAAAAAACTCCAAAATCACCTTTGTCCAGTTTTAACTCACCTCATCAATTCTTCTTTCATATGAGGATTATTTCCAAATAAATTAAAAATCTCAAAAGTCATCCCAATTTTTATTTTAAAATGAAAGGTGATAAAGATAATATAATTAATTATCGACCAACCTCACTGTTATCAAATATATCAAGTTTTTGAAAAAACTGTATGTTGACAGAATTTTTAGATAACAATAAACTTCTAGATGATATTCAACATGGCTTTCGAAGGAACCGGTCAGTGACAACAGCAGCAGCAGATTTTGTTAGTGCCATAATTGAGTCAGTAGATAAAGGGGAACACACTTTAGGGATATTTATGGATTTATCAAAGGCCTTTGATAGTGTTAAATATTCAACCTTAATTATAAAACTAAAATCATTGGGAATGTCTAATAAGTCTTTGGAATTGTTTACTTCATATCATATCCAAACAATAGATTTCAATATTTGGAAATTACTCATATTTCACAAACGCATAAAAGAGAGAATGAAGAGGAATTTTGACAGCAGGTGACCTAAAACCTCTTGGAAGAAGGGGATAAGGTCTGGATTAGAGACCTGAAATGTGGAGAAATCTTATCAAAATCAGACATTTATTCCCGTTCATATTGGGTAACATTAAATAATGGAAGACGGCTTAGAAGAAATCGATGGCATCTAACACTATTGCCATTAGAAGAAAGAGTAAATATTGAACAGCCTCATACAATCCCTCATGTACCTGATCAACTAACCCACGACCCTTCTCGAAGAAGTCAGAGACTCCTAAGAAGACTAAGAACGATATGATTAAAAGAAGATGTGTGACAAAGAGAGATGTGGTGTTATTAATTAACCATATGTTTAATGTTTAAAAGATAAGATGAACTGATTATTTATCATTATTGTTACCTTTTGTTTTTAGATGAGTTGTTGAAATTATTAGATAAAATACTGTTCCTAATTTGTTCATTTTGATTAAATAAATAGTTTCTTCACAATAACCAGTCAACTTTTTGGTAAAAGTGTACAAAATAATATTTACTGGATCAAATGTATGAATTTAGCAACAAATTAAACATTGTAAAAATATCTTTTACCTAACCCACCATGTTAAACTTCCCTATCCCAAGCGTGATGTATACAACTTCTTTACTTCTCGAGTGATGTTAAGTTGAAAAAAACTCACTCGGTGAGGTAATGAAACCCATTTAAATAACATTGAGTGCTTAACTTAAAAAATATACCTCTATGGAGCCAACATTCAACTCTAGAAATCAGCTGTGCCCTTGAATTTTATTATTATTATTATTTTATGGCCAGCATTGGACCACTTAAGTCAATATAATGGTTGGATTTTTTTTTTAATTCTGTCTCTTCTTCTTGTCTGCCCAATACTTCTTCATTCTTTCCGACTTGAATTTTATTGTTATGTTTTGAAGAATTTTCCTAACCTAGCTTTTGTTTGTAAATGAACGTTACTGTTAGAAGATGAGTGAAATGGATAATGAAAAATATTGTTCGTAACCTCCTGTATATTGTCGGGTCAGGTAAAATCTTGTACGTTACATGTTACATCACTTGGGTAAATTATGCAACTCGCTTCTGCTCGTTACACAACATTCACCTGCGTTCTATTATTACACTTGTAAGGTAAATAGCTATTAAACATTTAAGTTAAACATTAGTTTAAAATTGTAATTTACCATATATTAAAATCAAATACATGTCTTTTGCTCACAAATCATTAGGATATCGTTTCAAACGTTACCTCAGCCCTTGCAAAAATGTAATTTTGCTATGAATTCGCTAAGAATCAAGAATCTTTATTACCTTTTTATCAATACTAGTGTCCCTGTTGCTCGAATTCGAGCAATTGATAAGTATTACAGGCGTTATTTTAAAACAAATTTCAACCAAGTCAGCAAATATTTTTAGCAAACTATTAAATTAGCAAACTTATTCACTGTTACAATTATGCTCTTCTTCTCACTTTTGATTCCTGACAACAGCTGGATTTTCATAACAATTTTTGTTTCCCATGTTAATCTTATGGAGAAATACGAAACTTTAAAGGGCCTTAGGCACTCTCTAATTATTTTCCTAAAAAGAAAGTTTCCTGTACAATTTCACGATACGCTCTTTCCAATGACACCAAAAACATTTCAATCGGTTCAGTAGTTTCACATAGTTTCCTCATGTTCGGAGGAGTAATTGTCACAAAAAATCTGCTTGCGTATTAAATAAGTATATATATATATAGATAGATATACAGACATTGGCATAGTCAATAAATTAAATAAAAACATTAGATTCTAACAATGATTAAAAATGCTAATTTAACAGTTGTATAAAGTTATACATTTATTTGTTTTAATATCACTGCAATTTAAACGTTATCTCTGTTCATATCTTAAATTTAAAATTTTAAGCCATGTATTCACCAGGAATTTGTTAAGACATTACATAAAAGAATATATTTATCATGTTAAATCTGTATCATTGAATGATGTTTTAGTGTTTTTTACGAGCCACTGTATATAGCAACCAAATATAGAAGTTAAAACACTTCACGTCATAAAACACTCAATTCCTAGTAAAGGTTTCCGCTTAGCCCACTCACAGCAGTTAAAAACTTATATCGATTTTATATATACAGTAGAGTCCCGCAAACTCGGCGTAATGTGAACTGGAAGGGTGCCGAGTTTGTGAAATGTCAGGTTATCGGGATCTAGGGTTAAAAATAAGGACAATACAATTTTTTAGCTTTTTAACCTCCTTTTTTTATATTACAAGTCAGTATTAAGTCATCATATATAGTACAAAAAGTACTTGGTACGAGTTGTGAATGATTTTACTTCAGCTGGCTTGAGTCCATGTTCAGCTCGACTCAAATAATCACTAATTTTCTGAGCCAGGTGATGGCCGAGTTATCCAGACTGCCGGGTTATCGAGTGCCGAGTTTGCGGGACTCTACTGTATATTGTTTTTTATCTACTGCTGATATGAAAGTAAATTAGCTTCATTACGTTGTCCTAATTAAAATAGAGAAAATCAAGAATAAATTTTTTTCCAAAATCGCTTTGTTAACCAGATATTTGCCATTTTGTATTTTTTACATAAACATTTTTATTTTTCAATTTTTTTAACCATTCTTCATAAAACGTGGTATGTAGGTTGAGGCATAAAAGACCAATGTTAGAAAAAAAAATCATCTTGATTCAACTTAAAATTTCAAAATGGTGGCCATTTTAATTTTTTAAACTTAAATTACTCAAAAACTGCAAATTTTATGAACAAATGTCAAGAACACTTTTATTCAGCTTAAAATAGTATTTTTGGCCTCTGGGAACATCAAATGAATAAATTGGTTCCAGGTAGGTATTATAGGTCTTACCGTACCACTTACGGTAATAGTGTAGCTACTTCCCTTTGGGGAAATTCACGCAAAAAACTGTTGGGCCCACAGTGTGATATCATAAGATAGATAGCTATGAATGTGTCCAACAACTAAGGACCTTTATGTGAAACAGTGGAACTAAGTGCTCTAATCATGCCTTCAACATTTTTATATGCTACCAAATGTACTATCTACACCCATTAAGTGCAAGTGCAAACCTACCAAGTGGACACCTAAAAACTTCAGAGTGCTTGCATCATTACCATTACCGCTATGGCTAAAAGTCAGGTTTTGGGTCTTATCAGCTTAGACAAAACTTATTTGTATTTCACCATCATTAATAACAGCAGATTTTGTATCCAGTATATTAAAACAACTGTATGCCATATGAACAGCGGTACAGTATTGTAGGCCATCTTGTTTTAGCATGATGATATTTCTAAAAATGGTGTGATATTGTGTTCTGTGTTGTCATCATTTAAATCAAGTTTGATTGAATATGTGTTATTTTTGCCCAGATATATTTGGACATTCATTGCTTTAATTTATTAATGCTTTTGTATGAATTAAATAGCAAATTGGTTGGGCTTATGAGCACGAACAGCTAAGTATTGAAAATAGAATAATGATGGTGAGGGCTGCTTTACTGCTCTTTGGGTGGCTTTATGTTTATAGCACTTGTACAAAAGCCTGATCACACTATGTTAAGTTTTGACTAAGGATTGCAAAATACAAAACGAACAACAAATCTGTCAATACAAGGCTTTATTCGGGGTGTGAACAATATTTATGTCTCTTTTAAACCTAATACAACAAAGTAAAATATACCTGCCCGCCCTGATATGGCAGTTATTTTCATTGATAAAGCTACAGGTATTACTTCCAGACATTACAAAACAAAGAATGCAATCTTGGCACATTAATGCTAAACAAATTACATTTGTGATTATAGTGTAAGATAAATGCAATTCTAATATTTAAAAAAACATCTATTTGTATTGCTTGTTGTTGTTCCGGGTCAATATAGGCAATCCAAAAAGGGTATTGATCAATTGGCGGACACAGGTAATTTAAAACGTCTTTTACAGGAGCTCATACTACAGTCCTTAAACAGGTTCAGCAATTAATTACAGAAACTATTTTCTCAACATAATTTTGGTATACAAAACTTAAAATGTCTTTTACTGAGGCTAGCAAAAATAATATTTATTGATTTTAGTTAAGTGGAACAGGTACCCAATAGGCTTGTTAAGTAACTAAATTATACTCTTTTGTATTCAGAACTTGCCCATTATGTTTCTAAAAACACTTAATAAGAAAACTATAGCTAATACAGATAGATAACAGCTTTTTCAGTCTAAAGTATCAAACTGTAACAAACTATGTGATAATGTAGTTCTGGTGTTTCTTCAGACTATGAATCAACAAAAAAGTAGGCCTACAGAGAATAAGACCTTAGAAATTGAAGCAACTTTTGGAATTATTACAACTCAACCACTTACCACAACCAACATTCTTTATGGTAAAAGTAAAACTTAAATTTTAAGTTCTTTATTCTTTTTTAAATATGAAACTTTTACTATAGTAAGGTAAGTACTTATAAAGCATCCATATTGGACTTGTGTAAATCAGAATTTACATGACATTCAAGATAACATCTTGATTGTTTCAAGTCATCAAGATCAACAGACAAATCTAGTTGGCACAATGTACAATATAAATCTGCATCATCTTGTGAGCTATCCCAATGGTCAATATCAATCAAAAGACTTTCTGGTACACCAAATTCCTCGTCCAGATATTGGAAAGCATTATCAATTGACTTTTCAATACTTTCAATGATAGATTTGTGATTAAAGCCGTTAAGATGTTGCATAAAGTTCTTTATTGATGTTTCTTCAGAGCACCCAAGTTGAATTTCAACACAACATTTGTCACAAAAAAATGAGTTATCTGTTTCGGAGAGACATGCCGCATTATTTAAAATGCATTTTGGAACTCTTATGAAAAATAAATCTAGTTTATCAGAAGTTTCCATTAGTCTTTTTGCCTTCAGTTTTAGTTTATTAGAGTGTTCTCTGGAAAGAAAGTGCATTTTTAAATTCTGCCATGTTATTTGTTCCTTTTTAGTTCCCTCATCAATAATAATAGATTCTTCACATAAACTGCAGCAAAATGTCCCATTATCAATGTCATAACCAATAAGACTCCAATTGTTATTTACACATTCAGGCATTTCGTCTTCATAGTTTTCTCCAAAAACATACTCAAAATGTTCATGTAATAAATCTGAAGAACTATCGTAATGTTCTACAGCCTCAGCGTGCCTTCTGCCATCCAAGTGACTTTCAAGGTTCACCCATGAGACAACTACTTCACACAAAGTACAACAGAATTTGTTTCCAATAACAAAGTCAATGTGTTTCAGATTCTCTTCAATGGATTGAGGCATTTCACTAAGTACATTGTTAAGGCTATCTATTAAATCATCACACCTTGATTCTTTCTCCGATACGTTGCTTCGATGTGAACTGGTTTCTAAATGAAAAATCACCTCATTACATTCAAACTCTGCGTTAAATTCTTCATTACAAACACTGCATATGAAAATACCATCATTCAACTCAATATGCCTTAAATTCCTGAGAACTTCATCTGTAAACAATCCATTAACTTGAATGAGATTATCAAGTTTTTCATTATTTTCTGATTGCCTACGATACATATTTTCCATGTGAAATGAGGACAATACATGATGTTTCAAATTTGTTTCTGTTTCATGAGGGTTGTGAGGATAGCGTTTTATGTTTTCAAAACATAAAGAACAATACAAATCAGCACCATTATTGCTTATGTAGTCTATGTTTCTTGTTATATACGTGTGAATTCTTGTGAACTGGAGCTCGGGAACCAAAGACAGTACTTTACTCCTTTTTGCAGCCCACAAATGATGAGTTGATTGAAAATGTTCAGTAAATTCAGTTTCAGTTTTTCCCATGTTGTTTACGTTAACTTTTAAAAATGTATTACAAAGCGTGCATTCATACCTTTTACCACTCACGTCCAATCTCAGGTACTGTTTATTGTTACCAACTATGCAAGGGATCTCACCATAAACACATTTTAGTTCATCCAATTGTTCATTATAACATTTAAGTTTTTTTTCATGACCAAAACTTGTCAAATGATACAAAAAATTATTCATTGAAATCTTTGGATCTTGCTTAACTTGTATAATTTTTTTGCATATAACACACTCATATCCTTCTTCTATAACATCCAAAACTAAAATGTTGTTTTGAACAATTTGAGGAATCTGTTTTGGAAAGGTTAGATTAAGAGAGTGGATAACTTTACCAGGAGGACAACGATGTCCCCTGTGACAAATAGATTTTACATGAGCTTCCAAGGTTTTAGGTGAGTTTATATGTATATACTTGTCACAAAGTCTACACCAAAATTCTTCGGTACTCTTGTCATATGCTAAATACTTCATATCTTGATGAACTATTGCAGGTATTTCACCAAAAGTAGTTTTGAGTTGTTGCAAAATGGTTAAACTCATTTTGGAAGATTGCCCCTCAGGTCACACAAATCTGAAACACAAACAAAACACATTTGTACTAAAGTTTTTTTCCAAATATTAAGAGTATGTCTCCATAAGTTTTGTATCAAAACAACTTCATTATTTCTTTCAACTTAGTTCCACACACTAAATTAAAGGTCCTATGCCAATTGCAGATTTTTTTTTTTTTTAGGGTGAGGAAAGAATATGCTTTTACGCACACAGGTAGCCAGCCTGTAGTGTGAGACTCCTGAGTTTATCACAGACTACTCACTAAAAAACCTCCTCTACTCTGTTGGACAAAGACCTGGAATTGTTTTTCACATTACTTCAAGTCAGGCCAACATGTGACATGAGCCCACAGGGCTCGCACCGTTTCTGGCATTATTTATTTTTTTGACCTACACCGCATCCCGGTCGGGGTCAAGCTTCTTCTTGGCGCGGAGAACACCCTGGATGTAAAGTGACACACAGGTCCAATTGTCCTCACCCTCCATCATCATCGGTATGACCGTGTCCACCGACAGCAGTCCTACGAACTGTTGAGCCTCTAGGCGGGGCCTTTCCCAATGCTGGCAGTGGAAGAAAGTGTGTTCCACGTCATCGGGAATGCCTGGGCAGTATATGCAATCGGGTGACACGGCTTTGCCCATCCTGAACAAGTACGACCGGAAAAAGCCGTGACCCGTCAGAAATTGGGTGAGGTAGAAGTTCACCTCTCCGCACCGCCGATTAACCCAAGGTTGGACCTGTTGTATCAGTCGCCTGGTCCAGAGCCCCCTTGTCTCCTGTTCCCAGCACTCCTGCCACAGCTGGAAGGTCCGGGTGCGTTCCTCAATTCTTGCCTGGTCCTCCCCACGGCGCTGATAAATTGCCTTCCTCTCCGCCGCCAAAAGTTTGACGGGGATGACTCCAGCAACCACCAGGACGGCGGGTTCGGATACTGTTCCATAGGCAGATGCTACCCTTAGTGCTACCTGACGCTGCACTCGGGCAAGCCGCATCCTATATATCTCCTTATTGAGAGCGTCTGCCCAGACTTCCGCACCGTACAGGAGCACGGACTGGACCGCAGACATCAAAAGCCTTCTGCGGCTGGACCGCGGACCTCCGACATATGCCAATTGCAGATTAGAAACACGTTTTTGTTCATAATTAATGGTATAAAGTTATGAACTGTCCTTCTCCCATGCCTCACTTTTATACAGATGTAATATAATTAACAAAGTGAAAGTAACCATAGTCAAAACATTTAACCAGAAGCTGAGAGCGCTGATCACAGTCGTAATATCTTTAATTGTTGCCAACTTATGTTCAAGCGTACCGGTACACGTTTAAAATTGGGCATATCTTAAACTACATCCCTCACTTGTTAGCTGCGGAGAGCTACCTTCTGCCACTAAGTGTTGGTCCACCTACAGAACCAAGTGAGGGGGGCCCTAGACCAAGGTGTTATGAGATCCGTGCTGAGTCTCGTGGCACTGGGGGCCTAATATTCAGTGTCTTAACGGAGACTTCTGGGAACCTGGGGGAACCCAGTCGTAAGTACCCCTTACCTCTCTTGGGTCACTTGGGAGGTGGACCTTAGATTAGATACCCAGTACTTGTGGGAACAATATGGATGTTGTTGATAAAAACAAAAAAAAACAACCAAACCATTATTGATGCGCAAGAAGAGTGTGACCGACAGGTCGAAAGAAAGCAATCCTATTGCTGGACTGAGCGTAGACAATCTGGCCTCAATGGGGGAGGAAATTCTACTGAAATCTGACGGTGACGGCAAGCTCACAGAAACCGGAAGGAACCGACAAAACGACTTTCCAAGGGCGAGATGCGAAGACAGGGAATAGCGAACGCCTTAGCCAAATGCGAAAAGGTGCTATCTGGAAAGGAGAGTTGGTTGGTGTTGCTAAAGCAATATCTATAAGAGCAGCTGAGTTTTATTTTCTTAATGTTTTGACTTTAGTTACTATGGAAACAATTTGGATTTGAAAACTAATACTAAAGAAAGAAAGTTGATACAATTTTAACTCTTTATTTATTCTACATTTATTAACTTAAAACTTAATTTAAAGCAGGAAAACCAAACATAACTTAAACTAATCCACGGATTCACTATATGGTAGCAGAGCGTGGTTTCCTGCTTTAAATTTTTACAACTTTCTAAACTTAACTTCTTTACTCAAACCTTTTACAACTTTAACTTACAACTTTGAACTTCACCTTCAAGAATAACCAAAAATGTCTTCAAGATGGGAACTTCGATTGAAATCTGCCTTACTGCAACTGAAGACTTATATAAAGGATACAACTACACTATTGGACACCACGGAATTCACGGAGCTACAACTTGAAACAAGATTACAAACTTTGACTAGCTTTGTGGAGAGCGTGGTGGACATTCAAGAACGACTGGACTCCGAACCTATAACTGATTATGGACCAACGGGTGAGATCTTCACAGAGGATGAACTTACTAATACCTTGATGGACTACGACGAGGTCGAAGCTCAAATCTCAATAATATTAGATAGGTCCCGAGCTGCTCATCAACAGACAACTGAACCTGGATCATCTTTACCGTCAACCATTCCAAATTACTGCGTTCAACTTCCAATATGGATTTTACCAATTCCCGATCACAGCCTCAATACTAGTGATGACAAAGATGTCGGATCTAAATCACTTGAAAATGACGTAGTTGAAGCCGAGTCGCTGACAATTGCTGAGGATAAATCATTACCTCATGAAAGCTCAAGTTCTATTCATCAGGAATTGATAGATGACAACGAGGAAACAACACAGATAAGTTCTATAAATTGTGTGACTTTCAATCTGATACCAGCAGGTGAAGAGGAAGTAGATGTGGTACCAGAAATCATCACTTCAAATGGTTCAAGCAACAACGTCTCACTGGAAGAACAAGCCATGACCTCAGTCAACTCTGTCTATGGTCAGCTGCTTGTGATAGGTTCCTCACAGAATCGAAGCAATACTGTACTTCTATATCCCCAAAATGAGAAAATCCCTATCGAATCTGTCAGAGCTACCTCCGCTTCTCACTGTCGGCCTTTAGATGACAGACGAATACGAGGCACTCACAAGAAGAAGGACAGCTTGAGAAGAGACAAGATCAACTTGTGGATCATGAAACTCAGAGAATTAGTCCCAGCGTGTTACCAAGACTTGGGAAAATGCAGATATAAAGCCAATGAAGAGTTTCACTACATACTCTATCGTCCAGTAAAGAAAAAAGGGGCCCAGAACAACTAGATGTGGGAGTGTTGCTAAAGCAATATCTATAAGAGCAGCTGAGTTTTATTTTCTTAATGTTTTGACTTTAGTTACTATGGAAACAATTTGGATTTGAAAACTAATACTAAAGAAAGAAAGTTGATACAATTTTAACTCTTTATTTATTCTACATTTATTAACTTAAAACTTAATTTAAAGCAGGAAAACCAAACATAACTTAAACTAATCCACGGATTCACTATAGTTGGTGTGGGCTGCTCAGCCCCCGAACCTTGCTCCCAGCAAAGCCGGTTCCTCCGGGCACCAGGTAGGATGCTGGGAAAAAGCAGGGCGAGGGCGGCACCCCTAATCCTGACTCTACTGAAGCTTCCAGAAAAAAATGTGGAAAGCGGGGGCGAGAGCAACTGACACCTGAGGATGCCGGGGGCGAGAAGAAGAAGACAAGGACAAAAGAGGAGAGGGGTCGGGTGTTTCAAAGAGGGCACCAGCATCCACTTTTGGAGAAACTGTCCTTGGAGAAGATGGCCATCGCCAGATCGTTCAGACTATGAAGCTGAACAGAAGCCAACAAAATCAAGGGGGTGCTGTCCAGGCCATTCATGGCAAAGACGTCAGGATAAGCAGCTGCCAGGATAAGCATGCTTGGTGGTTGGTTGTGCTAACGCAGCCACAAAGGATTGGCTCGTCAAGCAAGTTCAGGAGCTGAGTCCCTTCGGGGGAATCCCTCTCCAGCTAGCCCCAGCCAGAAACCTTGTGAAAGCTGTATTGTAAAGGTCTCAACATGTTCCCATCTCAACGGGGGCAACAAGCGTATTTATGTGCCCACCTAGAAGCTTTTCTTTTTTAAAAGAAACTTTTAGATATTCGGAACAATTTTTAGTGTTTACAACAGAATTATTTTCCCACCAGAAGGCAGTAAAAATTAAAGGTATCACATGTATCAGGTTGCGCCTTCAGTGGTCTTTCAGTGCCGTTTAGCTAAGATGATTTTACAGAATTGAATGATGACTTTTTCAATTACACTGAACTGCAAAAATGATAGCGCTGTCTTAGTTATTGATTAAAAAGCTTTTTAGTGCTCAATAATTTCACTAAGCCTACTTTTTAAATAAAAAATAACATCATTATATTGAATTTTAGCCTCCTGATCACATTTAAATACTAAGAATTGACGAAAATACCTGTTTTTATGCGATCAAATTTGTTGATAAATTGCAACCAGATGTCTTCTCGCTTCATTCGAAGGTCTTCAATCTATATAAATAAAATTAGAGTTTTGTCTGTACATTGCTTAGAATTATATATTTTTAGGTTATTTTTATGTTTTATACATTAAAGAAGCAGAAACGAGTCTTATCTCTATTTCTGTCTGTCTGTCTGTAACACTCAAGATGGCATTTTACGCAATCTTCTCCGTGAAAACAAGAGTACCTATCAAGATCCAAGTCATTTTAATGTATTCACTGGATTGGCGCGAGTGTCTTTAGTGATTAAAATATGACCTCACTACTTTGTAAATAAAATTACAGACATTCAAAAATGCAGTTTTGTGCGATTTTTGTCAAATTTTTGTTCAATTTTTATCACATAATCGTCAATGAAATAACGAACAGCTGCTCGGATCAAGATTATTTTTTCCAGCTGTCACTGATATGTTTACAAATGTTGTTTACAAATACCGCAACCATTTCGAATCACATTTTGAAAGCAAATCCCAACCAAGTGAGATTGAAAACGTTTTTCTTACATAACGGATTTAATTAATTGCAAGTGCAA